CTTATGATTTTAAATTTAAAATTTGAACATGCGATATTTATTGTGAAGTCCCACATCGGTTAGGAAGGAGAACGAAGCATGCCATATATATGGGTGTGGATACCTTCCTTGTGTGGACGCGTTAAGCAAAACCGTGAGGGCTGCGGCCAAAGCGGACAATATCCACATGCGGGTTGCTGGGGTGTTACATTTGGTATCAGAGCCGGGACCCGGGCCGGTGTGCCAGCGAGGGCGCTGGACTCCCATGAGCGGGGTGGATTGTGAAGTCCCACATCGGTTGAGCGGGGTGGATAGTCCCACATCGGTTAGGAAGGAGAATGCATGCCATATATATGGGTGTGGATACCTTCCTTGTGTGGACGCGTTTTGGGGTGGCATGCGTGCCATTGCCAGAAGCAAAACCGTGAGGGCTGCGGCCAAAGCGGACAATATCCACATGCGGGTTGCTGGGGTGTTACATTTATCATCTAGAATATTAATAATATTATTTTTAATGTAGTTCAATTTAATTGGTTTAATAAGTGATCATTTGGTTTGACCGTTAAATCATCAAACTACAACCATAATTGATTCAATGACCAGTTTGATTTTTATAATGTTGGTTGCAACTACTCAAACAACCATTAGACATAACAAGATATTTGTAACAATTCAATAGATTACTTAACTTACTATGGTTCAGTCACTACGCAACGAGAATATAACTTATAACAGATCTAGGATGATCATGCGAGAATTATATAAACAAGTAAGCCATATTTGTATAGGGTAGAAGGGTAAATTACTAAAAATGAAAACCCTCACGAGCTATAAACATACCCTATACAAACATAAATACACTATATGAATATATAATTATATACAAGATTGACCTTACGTTGTCAATCAAGCACCTATACACAACCTAACTACATTGAGTAGCCATTAACAAAATAGAGCAACCATTAACTCATCATCGACTACACAAGTTGTCCCACTAATCATGTCTTGCTCTCATCAAGAATCATAATCATCACAATTCGAACTATAAGAAAAAACACAAGGTAAGCTTGTGAAAGAATTCAACATACTTTTACTCAACATATCAACTTTCAATTTAAGGGCAATGTCATTCAACCACACCTCATCATCTTTCAACACAACAACAACAATATCATCAAAAATAACTTTAAACAATTTATACAACATGATCAACTTAACACATTCAACATAGCAACACATATAAATACATCACTAATGTGTCATCGCACATAGCAAAGTGTGGAGATCTCCTACAACTAAGGTGAACAATTTAAAGGATTAGACTTTACTGAACCATAATGTGTGACCTATTTCAACCAGGCCAACTAACAACTCAATTTGATTCTCGGGTTTTCCACTTAAATTAGGAAGTCTAGTACTATTGTCAAGGTAGAATATTTTGGGTAGGGACCTACCATAGCATTAACTTACATCACTAAGTCACCTATAGGATTAGTCCATGGACTACCCTCCAAGTACTACACCATCCAATACTCGGTTAGGAACAAAGTCCCCGACTTTGTACTTTACTCAGTTGGTGCATGTATACATGTATGGTTCAACTTAGCCCTTATACGAATCCCACATAAATCTTAGAGAAGACAATGTACAACTTACTGTTTTGCAGTCAACTCACTGATTGAAAGTTTTTCAACACTTGGGCTCTTAAAATACCTCATCTCATATACGCACAATGAGATATTTAGTTTTCAAAGTCATCACTTACTCTCCTCTAGTTTTTATGTATCTTAAATAAAAATGTATCTGAATTACATGCCTAACAACTTAACAACTTTACATCTTAACAACATATAGTTTCACAACTTAGTTTCAAGTTACATCTTAACATCATAACTCATCATAAATAAACCAACTTATTTGTAAATCATCTTACATCCCAACAATATATTCATCATCATGTAAAACACACACACGCACACACACACACACGCACACACACACACACGCACACACACACACACGCACACACACACACACACACACACACACACACACACACACACACACACAATCCTAGCTCTTGGTCAAAGCGATAGAAACTCGCTCAAAGCATCTCGTAATTTGCTTGGAGTGAGCCCACACAGAGAGCTTCCATAGAAGTCTCAATTTAGATGCTTAATGCAATGCCACCCTCACTTTGAGAGAACAAAACTCACTCAAAGCGCCTCAAAATTCACTTAAGATAAGCAACGTCAAGGATCATCCCCTGAACCTCCAATTCCTTTGTTCTAAGTGAGTGAGTTCCTACTCTGAGTGACAAAATCTCTCTTGGAGCGATCATAATTCACTTCGAGCAAGACCAGGTCAGAGAGCACCTAGACTTGTTTTCCTAGCTCGCTTGGAGTGAGTAAGTTCTCACTCTACGTGAGCTTACTCAAAATCTGCATAAGCTTCAAAAACAACAACTCAATCCTCCCACTCTTAACTCCAAATTCATAAATATCTCTAAAAATCAACCACATGCAATGCGAAATTCAACAAACATGCATTATACATAACTCATTTATGATAATAAAAGCAACATGCAACTAGGGATTCAAGGAATCTTCATCTACACCTTCAACGTCCACCTGAAGAGCATTTCTACTTCCCAAATCATCATATCAGAACACCTCAAGTTTCCCTTACCTTGTGATGAAACGAGTCAAGAAGAGGTGAGGAGAAGACCAAACTCCAAATGACTTAGAATCCTTGGCTCCGAAGGCTTTGAATCACAAGCTCAACAAGAAGGATTGGCTATTAGAAAAGGAAAATGGAAATATCTCTTAGAATGAGGAAGAAAAGTTTTGAGATTATTAAAAGTACTCTCACCAGCTTTTCTCTAGGAATTCTAGACATGTGAACCTATGAGATCCTAGATTTTAGAAAGCCTTAAGTACCCTTCATGAGCTGACCCATCCTAGCTTAAACACAACTTAAACAACACCTTAAAACATGGATGTCACAATCTCCATGAAAATAGTTGTACCGGAAGATGATGTATATGTTTATGTTTTATAAACAATTTTTTTTTAAACTTAAATATTTTTAATCCACAAATTTGGGATATGTATTTTTTGTCTCTCAAATTTAAAATTTTTATTTTTACAGCCTGTAATTTCAAGAAATATTGTTTTAATCCTTCAAATTTAAAACTTATATTTTTAATCTCTAAAATATCAAAAATTTATTATTTTAATCCCATAATTTGTCATTGCCATAAGATTAATGACTAGATTTTTTTTAAAAAAAATTATACAGACTAAAATGATAAATTTTAATTTTTTATATTTTGGAGACTAAAAACGCAAGTTTTAAATTTGGGGACCAATTCAAACTAAAAACATAATTAAATAAATTTATTTATTTGTTATTTTTGAAGAATTTTCAAATATTATTGTCTTTACTCTATGTTTCTAATTAAGTATCCTTTTAGCTTATATTGAAGTTACCAAGAAAGTTATTAATTTTGCTGACTTAGACTTTGTTAATATATTTCCTATTTTATCCTTTTTAAATGATTTTTTTTTTCATAAAATTCTCCCAATTAACTGTCATTAGTTTCTTCTCTCACATTTAAAGCTTTCAATGATATCATTTTCTCTCTTCAAATACTACTAATTATTTACCTTCCACTAAAATATACTTAAAAGTTAAAAGATATTGATTAGAGTAGGCATCAAACTATTGGCTGAAATACAAATTTTTATGAAATAATTAGAGAATCCAGAGATATAATTGACAGAGAAAAAAATAATATTATCTAGAAATCTAAAAATGACATATAAGAAAGAAAAAAAATTAAAAAAAATATGACTCTTAAAAAGAAAAAGAGGTTGTATTTAAGTTCATCTTTCAACAATATAGTCAAACTTGAATTGATGGCCAACAATCATCATGCACATGTAATGATGTATTTCCAAATCAGCTACTTCTTTTTTAAACAGCTTAACTGTATCGCTTGACAAACATTTTAACTATGTTACGCAATCTATGTCATTACGATTTTTGCAGAATCATTTCTCTCTTGTAAGTTAGTGATGGCCTGGTGGGGATTGGAGGAGAATTTACATTGTCTAAAATTTGAACTCTGGTAGTGTTATTATAATTTTGATAGATAAAAAGAATACAATGTTGGTTTTAATTATTTTTTAAACCTTATATACATGTTAGGGTAGTTTGGACAAATTATTTTATAAGTACTTTTAAGAAAAATAAAATAAATAAACTTTTTTATAAGTTAAAATTAGTCTATACATAAATTAATTTGCAAAATTTTTCTTCTCAGTTTTCTCAAAATCCTTATTTTTTAACTAGTACATAAATTAATTCTAACTTAAAAAAATTTATTTTGATTTTTTTTCTTTTCTTTTTTTTAGAAGTGTTAAAATCTTAAGCGATTCCTACAATTGCATCTTTAAAAGAATCATGTCTGAATATGAAGTGACCTTCCCATAGACGTTATTTTCCTAATCGACTTAGGAAATATGGTTAAGCTTAAGACCAAGACATTGATTCGACCGAAATTTTGAATTGTCAGTTAAATTACCCCTTTGTCCTTTAAAATATAACTTTTTACAAAGGATAAATGGCAACAAATGATGTTTGAAGGAGTAATTAAAGACAAAATCTTTAAAAGAATCAAGTAAAGATAGAATTTTTTAGAAAACGATTTGATAACCAAAATTTTGAAAATAACTATCATGAAAATGCATGTTACTTTAACGAAATAAGTTAAGAGCTTTCGTAACATATTTGTAAAATAAACTCAATCAACACTTTCCATACAAAAACTTGCAATCTGCAATCCATAATCCAAATACTCGATCAACTGATCAACTCAACTGGTTCACACTTCACGCATAAATGAAACTAGAAGAGTCTCTTCCTAATCATAGGCGACGTTATAATCGTTCCACGGGAGTAAGCACACGTTTAATATTATATCTAAGAAAACAAGTGATAACACAACCAAAAAGGAAAAAGAAGAAAGTCGGGGACAACAAACAACAATGATAATAAAGATTCATGTGCCCTGATAGGACTACAAATACATCATAAAAAACAACTAAAATGGAAGTGACAACAAACAACAAAATGAGAATTGATGCCTTGATCGAACTTGAAATATATGAATTTATTCAAGTTTTTTCTCTCCTGCAACTCTTTCACCCTATTTTCCTTAGCTAGGGGATTTAAAAAATCCCACACTAGTTCGAGTGCGGCTATTAAAATCGCTCTCAATAATGATAAAAAATCATAACAGTAAGACGGAATCACTCAATGAAAATCAGGCTTCTCTGGGTACGTGCAGCCAGGCCTTTGGATGATGACATTGGCTGCATAACACCCAGCTCTCACGCATTCCTCAATGGGCTTACCCTTGATCAACTGTGAAAGAAACCCTCCGACAAACGCATCTCCTACAAAAAAACAAAAGAATAAAAGTACACAATCAATTTATCAAGTTTCTACAAACATTTAGAATATAGACAAAATCGGAATCTAGCTAGCCAATACCAAGATACAATATCTATTCCTAGCAACGCCTCAAGAATCATAAATAACATTATGGCCTTCTCATGTTGGTTGCATGACTATCATCTACTATTCAAAGCATTTAGCGGGGAGAGTACTTGAAGCTTTCGAAAAAAATCATAATTATTTTACTGGTATTGTAAGCAATAGATGATTTATAATATTTCTTAAAATCAAGACTTATTTTAGAATCATGTATTAAAAAACAGAGGACAGAAATTATAACTTGCACGCATTTTATGAGCACACCAAATTCCCATAAACTCAACTGCACATATAACTTGGTTTAATATTTAAACACTAAAAACAATAGGGCTGTATTGTACCTGCTCCATTCGTGTCAACTAATTTCTCTTTAGGTAATAGTATAACAGGGTACAACTTAACTTTCCCATCCTCAGCAACACAAACAGGATCTGCACCTTGTGTGATAACGGTAATCCTTTTGTGCGTTCCTGATGCCTTTGGCCACTGGGAAATCTTCAAAGCTATTTCCTCGACATTATCAGTCTGGTCAATATGAAAAGAGTCAAAATAGATAACAAATTAAAACTTGAAACCAAAAGTGCAACCCTACAGATCTGCTATGCAAAGATTACCTCCCAGCCATGAACTTTAGAAAATGTTCTTGCTTCAGTCTCATTTCCAAAAACGTAGTCCATATATCTGAATCCCGGAATGGATAGTAAGATCAACATGTAAATTTTTTCCTTATTTGAATTTAACAGAAAAGGATCCTTACGGCAAAAATTTCTCCTGTGCATCCTTGAAGAACTCACAGATAAAGGGAGCAGAAAGGTTCATCATGAAGAACTGCATACAGGAATAAAATACTTGATCTCCGAAACTGCTAGTAAAATGGGAATGCCAAGTTCTATTGATATCATACCTTGTTGTTCTTGACTGCATGTTCAGCAACTAATTGTATCGAATCAGGAGATACAGTAAGGAAAAAGCCAGAAATGTAGAAATACTTGGCCTTTTCAACTATTGAAATAACAAATGTCAGTCATCTAGATTATTCAGGTATATGAGATAGATAGAGAGCCTGAATATATCAAAAAGGTACCTAATGCCCAATTTTCTGGTCTCGTCAAATGCTCAGACTTGTAGCAATTTGCAGCTGATAAGTTGGCAACAAGTGACCTATATTTAGACGCAATCACATAGAATACTTCAAATAATTGTTTTTCGATCAAGTATATGTTATAAGCTGAAGAAGTATAATACTAACAAAGCATAAAATATAATTATTATCGAGTTCTATAATGAGTAGAATAAATAACTCAAGGAAAACTTGATCATCTGACCTTTCACCACCAACCACACAAACAGCACAAGTTCCCGTAGGTGTACTATCGATTTCATAATAGTGAACCTGATTGTTGAATGAATAAAGTCAATTTCAGAAATGGGATTCTAAGGTCAGGTACGGAGAAGTGAAAACACAAGATTAAACTTGCCTTTACACCATCAAGTGCACAACTCTTCTTCATCTCCTCCCCAAATTTGTCCTTTCCTATGCAACCTATGTAACTTGTGGCACCAGGTATTTGAAGCATCCACTGTTATGAGGAGGAGGCAAATGATTAGCTACTTTCACCACAACTACTCCAGAGTCAGCTTACTTCATATAAAAGAAAGTACATACCTGAGCAACCCTGATTGAATTCTGAGTAGCACCTGCCAATAAGGAAATTATAGAAATCGTCATATAAAATGTGCACTTCCAACTCTTTCAACGTGAAATTCAATAATTCGGATCAAGTGTATTACCTCCAGCAATGTACTCCACATTAGGTCTGTTAGCCAATTCTTCATACCTGACATGATGGTAGGATCATATGAAAAGGAATATCCCGTTATTAAAATACTAGCTTAAAAAAAATAACTGAAGAGAGAAAGCTAAAGTGCCTAAACATCTTTCCAGATATGGAGGTTGAATATCCATTATCCAACCAATAATTACATCAATTTCTTAATTCACAATTTTTCTTGTAAAAATAGACAAGAGTATTTAGTAGGAAGAGATAGCTAAAACTTGAGATTTTCCTTAAACAGCATTCTAGTACAAAGCATTGGCAGAGAGCAAAACAGATTAGAAGTGGGTATAGCAGTTTTCTGGTTCTGCTTCTTAAGGCTTCATCTATTGGTGTTTATGTGGGGTGCATGCCATGTTCTTTTTTGGTTTCGTGATTTTGGTACTATAAGCATGCGCTTGTAACTTGCCCTGTTAAAGAATTTGTTCTTAAGCTGTACTGTGGACAATTTTCACAATTTGTGATCATTGTCTTATTATATTTATAATTTTTTTTTCTCTCAAAAAAAAAAGAAAAAAAAAGAACCACATCATAATAGTATATTTACGAATTTAAAAACATGCCACAGTCCGAGTACCAGAATAATAGTATATTAATAAAATCGTCTAACAGCAAACATAAATTCCTTTGCCTCTCATGATTTTAGACAAAAAGAAACATTGATAAAACTCCAGTATATTTGATTGGGAAAGGTAGAAAGTTCTTAATCCTCCTATAAATTCCCCTAATTATTATTTTTTCAACATATTAAATATATTTCCATTTTATACTTTCTTTATAACGAGAATTGTTAAGATGTTGTATACATGTATATAACATTTCTTTATTTCTTCAAAAGTTGTTTTTTATTTGTTTAGAGAAAAGCAATTGCCTATTTCGGATTCGCTTATTTTGAAAACAATAATTATTTTCCATAATTTAAGTGATACCGACCGACACATGATAAAGTAGAAAAAGTAAAAGTTTATGAATGAAAGAATCACACAAATTCAGTCCACTTCAAATTAAGCGTGAATATATAACACCTTTCTTACTATATAATTTACATATTCTCTCACTCTAAACAGTCTAATTTTTGTATGCGAGTGTGTTTTAACTTTTTTTTTTTTTTCTCCGGAAATACTGATCTAACTATTACAAGAGTTTTTTTAAACAAAAAAAAAAATTAAAGTAATACTTCTCTCATTTAAGAAAAAAGAAAGAAAGAAACAAGGCCTTAGCTGAGACACGAAGAATGGCTACTGGTAACATGAAGAGAAAATCTTACATAGGCTTGTGCTTATCCTCGGCGAGAATCGCATCGTTCAACTTGATACCGTATCTGCAACACAAATTGAGAACCAAAAGCGTGAGATCTGATCCGTCTCATCTCGTTTTTTTGTGTTTTTTTCAGATTCACAAATCAATCAATGACGCAACAAGCTTCCTGAACACTCTTGTCTTAGTTGCATATATAGCAATAGATGTAGCGCAAGGCATTAATGATGAATAATAGTAATATATATAGAGGAAGGAAAATGCGAGGTACGTACTTTTGCAAGAAGGGTTCGTCGACGACGGCGGAGATGTCGAGGAGAGGGTTGCACATGCCGAGGAGAACGCCATCGAACTCCATTGATGCAGAAAGAGAGAGAATTATTTAGGAGTGGGTGAAGTGAGGAGTGAAGGAACGAGATGCAGAATCAGATCTACCCAATGCTTCACAAATGCCTTTCTTTTATAGGCGCTTTCAAGCTATGGCCTATTGGTGGCTACTAGTACTACTACATCTACTTAGATTCTTGCCTTTATTTTAAATTAAATAATTCTTTTTTAATAAATTTATTAATATTTTAATGTAATTGAAGGATGTATCATGTACCATTACTCTTATTTTATTATTCGACCGTCAACGGGAGAATTAAAGTATTTAACACAAAATTTATTCAGTTGGACTGTAAGAATAAATTAAGAAATGAGTAAATATTGGCCCCTGCGTTTAAATTTATTTTAATAAAAAAAAACTTTTTTATTTTTAGTGTATTTATTTAAGCTACTTATTTGAACATGTAACAAAAGAAAACTACTTATTTTAAAAATAAATAGTTTTCTCATTTTTCAAGAAGCAAATTCCTCCTTCTTAAAAAAGTAATTTAAAAAAATTATAATTTTAAAAAAAATAAATAAATAAACCAACACGTTTTGCTCATCGGTTTAAGATAGGTCTAACGTTTACATTAACATTATAAAATTGTTATAAAAGATGATTTTGTGGCTTTTGTACTAATTATTTTAAAAAATTATATTTATAATAAAGTAAAATTATTGGAATTGACTTAGTAAAAGAAGATTTGGAATAATATACACAAAGTCTTATGTTTGAACTTTGATGTAATTTCATTAGATAAAAAAAAATATTTATAATAGAGTTTTAATTTGTTAAAAATGTAAAAATATAAGTATTAAAAAAATAATGTATATATATATAGTGAGTTGAAATTAAACTCGTAAAAAATTTATATTAAGAATTATTATAAAAATTAATAAATTTACTGCAATATAAAAATTCATAATATATTTAAATTAAATATAAATTCATTTTTTATATTAAATGAACTTAATTAGAATGAACAAATTAACATTGTACACTAACACTATCTTCTAATTATTAATTATCACATCTTTTTAAATTTATTAATTTTTATAATAACCACTTTAAACATCATGTTCATCATATTTTTTATTTAAAAAAAATATAGAAAATGCGATGAAATTGTTATTTTTATGATTTATTGTGAAAACTAATGTAAAACAGTATTAAGGAAAGGCTATTGCAATTTAATCTCGTTTATAAGAATAATTAATATAGTGTGAAGTTTTTGTATATCATCAACTATTGTGTATAGTATATTTGTTTGCTTGTATAGTACTTAGTTTAAAAGTTATAGCAAGTTTTAATTAATTAATAATGTAAAATCTTTTACACACATGTGGATTTGCATTTTAAACCCAATTTCTAAACATAAAAAAAATAAAATGTAAGTTCAAAATATACAATAAACTCAAATAATTAACTAATTTAAAATAAATACATTTTTTTTTAATTTATAAGTTCATATCTTAAAGAGATTAAAATTAATAGTTCACTTTTTTGTTTGTCTTATTAAAAATATCTTAGAAAATATTTTTTAATTTCAATTAGTAATAATATTTTATATTTTCTTGTTAAAATATTATACTTTTGGTAACAAGAAAAAGGCTGGGGGGAAGAAAAATAAAAGGCAGTGGTTTCAAAAGGGGAATTTTAGTCAATGAATCGTGATTTTGTCGTGTTTATGATTATGATGACAGGTAATGTTTAAAAAAAAATATAAAAAAAAGAGGAAAATACAAAATAATTATAATAAATTTATTATTATTTATATAAAAGTATAGTATCATGTAAAAATTTTGGATCTGCTAATCTCACCAATCCCCGGTCATAACTCATAATCCACCAACCATGTTGGGGCCCACAACTGTAAAGGGGAAATATATGGCGCACCACACCATACCCTAATATTCAAATCTTATATCGATCACCATTTTCTGTCTTTGTTTTCAATTATTTGACTACCGAAAGTCCTCCAACAACAAAAGGAAAGAACAAACCTCAACTAATAGAATTTTTTAGTTTGGGAACCATAATTCAAAATTAAATTAATTTACAATTACAATGGCACTTAAGAACACAACACCTACCACCCATGGGTACATAGCAGTATAGCACCTACCGCAAACTTGAAATTCCTTTGGAGTGTGTTTTGGTTAAGAGAAGAAAGTAAAAATGAAAGGAAGAGTGAAAAAAAATACTATAGAAAGTAAAATAATGAGATGATTTTGTAGGTTGTTTGATACGAATGTAAATATAAATGAAAGGGGGGAAAAATACATAGCATGTACAAATTCAAAGATTGAAGTTAAAGCCTTTGATAGTTCATTAAAAATATTATTAGTTTTAAATTGCTATATCTTCCGAATTCGAAATGGAAAATACAGTCCGAACTTTTATAATATTAATATTTTTTAATAAAATTATTATTAAATAATTATTTAATTTAATATTTTATAATTTAAATTAATTTTTTAATCATTCGGAATACGATTCGGACGATTAAGTCGGAGGATGCAGAATTTTTCTTAGTTTTATTATAAGTAAAGTAAATTATTTAGCAATTTAAGAAATAATTCTTACAAATTGGTAATGGAAAAAATACTATAGAAAAGAACAAATATTTTAATATAGACAAAAGCTCTAAACTAATATTTACGTTTCGGATTAGGATAAAATACATGTCCAAATTTAGAATATGTCTAAAATAAAAAACATCAAAAAGAAATTCAACGGTCAGTCCTTTAGAAATGACAATATTGTTGATATTTAATTAGTAATTATTGATGTAATTAGTAAATTAACAAAATAATTTTGAAATTTAAACGAGATTGATAAAAATAATTAATATCATTAATTACTTCTATTTATGAGTTAATTAATATATATAAAGAGAAAGGAGATATGAAGTTATAATTCAATGATTAGATTTACAAAATTCATATTTAATATAAAATTATTGATCGGTGTAATATTTAATGAGTTAATCACTTATATACTGTTAATGGAAAGTTTTTTTACACTGACAATCTTTTAGTTGTGCCATATCACTATAAATACATTTACTTTTTTAACAGTGACATGACACAACTAAAAGATATAATTAGTTGTCAGTGTAAAAAAACTTTACACTGGCAGTATATAGGTGATTAACTCATATTTAATAACAGTTTAAATCTTTATCATATATATATATATATATATATATATATATAATCTTAAAAATACAATTTATGATAACTAATAAATAAATAAAAGCTTCATCCTTCAATATATGCAAATCACATGCATTAAATCTAGTAGTAACAAAAAGAAAAAGAATAAAATAGTAATTAACTGACCATGGCGGGTTTGTTAAATGATGGAGTTATCGGGTTGGGCCTGGGCCTGAGCCTGAGGCGTCTGTGAGATAGAAAAATGAGAAGAGAAAGAGATCCAAGGATGACAGAGAATGTTACAGTCCATGCATTTAGGCCATAGGAACAGAAAATATTTCCCATATAACTTGGAGCAAGACAGAATTCAGAGAACATTTCTACCACTTGGTTCATTCAGCAATATAATGATGTTGCTATATAGATAGTGAAATGTCCATTAAGCAACATGATCATAGCCTGGGCAGATCGGTGAATATATATTGTTCCGTAAAGAATTAATTAGGCCCTTAAATGAAAAATGAAAAGTGCAAAGTGGAGCTACAAATTAAGTAAAGCCCAGGATCCTTCAAAAATTTATAATGTGAGAATCACTTAAGATCTCAAGCACAACTTCCATTTTTCTAATTTATTATTCTTTTAATTTAATTTATGTTAAATATATTTTATGAACAATGATAATTAAAATAAATTATTATGGAAAAAATTATATATGTTCCAAAACTAATAATTTTATAAATACGTAGTTAAATTTGAAATGATATATAATATAATTTTTTAACTAATAAATAACAATCAAAATATATATAAAGAGAATGAAAAAAGAAATTTACTTACTTTAAGTCAGTTTAAGTTTAAATTTGTTTTGTTCAATAATTTATGTTCTACATTAATTTTTAACGATTCAATAATTAAATTAAAAAATTTTAACGTGTTGATTAAGTCTGTAAAGTTTTTCAAAAAATTTAAAAATTATTTGATATTTTATTTCATTAATTTAAATTAATGGATTATCATAAAAATATTTTTTACGTTGATTTAAATTAATGAAACAAAGTATCAAATAATTTTTAAATATTTTTTTTTATAAATTTGCGTACTTGATCTATATATTAAGAACTTTTAATTTAACGGTTGGATTGTTGAAATTTAATGTATAACATGTGTTATAGAGTGGAAGTCTACTAAGACTTACTCTTTGAGTAGGTGGATTCCTTCTCATATAATATATGTATATATATATATATATATAGGTGACTCAAATGAAAATACTTGTTAATGTAAAAATAACCAATAACAATTTTTATATTAAAATAAATAACTTAGATTAAAAATTAAAAATTAAGTTAATATATCATCACCATATCATAATTTTCTTTGTCATTATCAACCTCATTATTGTTATAACAACAACTGTCACATCATCACCCATCCATCGTTACCATCATCAACACCAACATCTTTTCACCACTATCATCACCACCACTATCATTTTTGTACCGCCACTATGTTTAACTATCACCATATCTTTATTATGATCACCACCATTATTGTTGTCACCATTTTCATTGTTCCCACCATTGTTGACATTATTATTGTTGTCACCACCTCAATTACCAACATTGCCCATGGCCTTAGTGCAAAGTTAGTGGAAGTGGCAGCGATGAAGGTGATGGTAATGTGGTAGTAAAAGCAGTACGATGGTGGAGGTGGTTGGTTGTAAAGTAACATTGATAATGATATAGATAATTATGATGGTAATGATATCTGGTAACTTTATTTGTGTTTTTTTTTTTTTAATTTAAGTTATTTATTTTAATATAAGAGTTGTTATTAGTCGTTCTTATATTAACATATATTTTCACTTGAATCGTCTATATATATATATATAATGAGAGAGAGAATGAATTTACTTATTCTAAGAGTAAATCTTGATAAACTTA